ATATCTATATATACATATATATATACTCTATATATATATATAGATACATATATATATATGAAATTAATAAGAATATACATATATATATACATATATATATTATTGGTTTTTGATTTGGCAGGACTTGGGCGAGCAACTGCAGGACTCCCAGCAAATCGAGGAGGCTACTCAGAGAAGCCCACGGGGCGCGGATACCGAGGCCGCAAAGGCCCCAGAGCAAGTCGAGAAACCCCCAGAAGTCACGACCGAAAAGGACCCAGGGCAAGCAGTCGAGAAACCCCGAGAAGTCACGACCGAAAAGGACCCAGCAGGGCAAGGAGTCGAGAATCCCCTAGAAGTCACGGCCGAAAAGGACCCAGCAGGGCAAGGAGTCCAGAAACAGGAGGAACAGGCAGGGCAAGGAGGAGTCGAGAAGGTTGCTCCCGAAAAGCAACTGGTGTCGTGGCTGCTGTCGTCTTTGTCAGGACACCAGGGTAATGGCTCTGGCACGGGGGAGCCTTCTGTCATCGAGCAGGCCTTGAGGAGGCCTGGTACGGTGGACTTCGAACAGCTGCTCGTGGGCCTCACTGATAAGATCAATGGCACCATGAAGAAGGATGACAAAGCCACTGCTCCCAGTGCAGCTGCAGCACAAGAAGTCCCCCCGTCTGCTCCGAGTACACCTGCAGCCCCAAGCACACCGGCTAAGTCGACTGCCCCAGCCCCAAGCACGCCGGCTAAGTCGATTGCCCCAGAGACAAGCAAAGACGATGCCCCGACCAATGCAAAGATGAACCCCCCTGCCGAGATCGATCCCGCTGTCGTCGAGGATATGCTAGTGAGATATGTTAAGATATGTTTTCCTGGTATCTTTTGCATATATACTGCCTGCAGGACAGGAAGCTGAAGCGCAACGCGTACATGAGGTTCAGCCGCTCATTGACCAGCGACTAGGTTTGCATATATTTTTTTGCTGTAGGCTTTAGGGTTTAGGGTGTGTGCATATATGTGTATTTATATATATATACACTATATAATATATATATATATATTTATTTATTTATGTATATATATACACACTTTTAAAATTATATGTATATTAATAATATATACAACATAATAAGTCTCTGAACCAACAAAGCTAAGTGTATGTATTGACTTAGAGCTAGCTTAACCCATATCCCCATACCCCAGACCCGGACCCTAATCATCCTGATATCCAACAATGCAAACCGATCTGAAACCCACACCCAAATCGCAAAGCATATGAGTCCCAAACCCAACACCCTTAGAAGCTCCAATTTTTCTAAACCCAACTTCCCTAAGCCTTCCAACTGCCTAGGTCCCAACTGCCCGGAAGCTGTTTTGGCAGCATACGATGAGTGCAAGGACAGCTCTGGCGACTTGGCTCGGTTATGGGATACTATATAATTAGGGTTTATGGTTTAGGGTTTAGGGTTATATGGGATTTGTGCTGATATGCTATGTGAAAGCTGAGGACGACCCCGGAGGGACAAGGTCCAGGAATTGTTCCAAAAATTTATGGACTGCCGGGAAAGCTGGGGCGAATCCGATATCGTGATTTCAGCGGAAGCACGATCGACCCAAAAGAGCAGCACTGCTACGAGGTGGATGACACGAAAGGACCGGACTGAGGATGTGTAGGGCATGCATTACTGCTTAACTTGATTCCTTGATTTTTGTATATGTATATAATGCAGGATCTCACGCAGAAGTACGGCGACGAAAGCTTGGTCAACGACATCATCAATAGCAAGGTATCTTGCAAGCATCTAAGACTGAATGAGGCTAAAGTTGAAGATTCCGTGCCACTACTTAGGAAGGGGTTCCTGGGCAATGGATGGACAACCCCGACGCGCCGGGCAAGCAGGACCTGTGCATGTCTGTATAAATCTCTTGCAATGTCCGGGTGAATGGCTGCATGCTCTCATGCACGACATCTAAAATCTTATCCTAATATCGCCCTAGCCCAACCCACGAAGCCTGGATCCTAAACTATGGTTAAACACCAACAACACCTACACCCTTGAACTCATATATAATAATGCGATTAATATCACCAATGCAACACCACTCCAAAACCACAGCATTTATTAATATCCCCAAATCCGAAACCACTCCAAAACCACAGCCTTTAACGGAACCCCTTCAGGAATACCGTGCCTATCGTTGTTGGGATGGATCGACTGAGACAGCCGACGATGAGAATATTCAAAAGATTACGAGGACGAGAAGTGCTGAAGTGGACCCCACTGCCCGGAGCTCGAGCCAGCCTGGTGGTGGTGGTGGTGCAGGTCAGAAGCCTCTGCCTCCTCCCAACAAGAATCCGGTGAAGAAGGAAAAAACGATTCTGCAGCAGGCTAAAACCGCCACTTGCATTAATGGTATTCTCGAGAGAATGCATGCAGCTTAATATGCAGCACCTGTACTCAATCTAAGGCGATGAATCTGGCCTCAGCCAATTTGCTGGAAGTCCAGAGCTTCGAGCACAAACTCAGGAGCAACAACTTGTCTCTCGATTGCAACTATAATGTTCGATATCGCAGCTGCAGTCCTTCGTCCACTCGCATCGTCATCGCACCCAGGGATGGCAACCTCGTGCTGGCTTTGGTTCAGAGCATGAACAGCCAGGCAGAGCTGTTGAGGACTGCAAGGTCCAACTTGGAGGCCCCCGGTGTTTTGGGAGATGTTAGTTAGCAGGTTTTGACGTCTTTTGTTTTGGGAATCGGGGCTAGGGACAGGGTTTTGGGGCTTCCAGCTTCGGTTTCGGAAAGAGCTTAGAGGCTTATTCGTGGTTTATTTAGCGAGCTAGCGAAGTTGACCCTA